CTCTCTTCTCAATCTTTTAAAATCTGGCTTCGGACTTTATTATTTCACCAGAATTGCTCTCTTCGAAGTTACCAACTATCTCTTAGTTGCCGAATGGTGTTTTCTCTTTCCTCATTCTCCTTGACCTCTGCCTTTGACATTGTTGATCACTTTCTTCTCCTTCCTACTCTCTTCTCTCCAGTTTTTTGGGACACTTGTCTCTTCTGGTTCTCATCTTACCTATCAGACTGCTCCTTCTCAGTCTCCTCTGCTAAATCCTCATCTAGATCATGCCCTCTAACTATAGATGTCCCTCAGGGTTCAGTCCTGGGTCCTCTTTTCTTCACTCTCTATACTACTTCACTTGGCAACTTTATCAGTACCCACAGATTTAATTACCATCTATCTCTATGTTCACAATTCTCAATTCTATCTGTCTTCCCCAACCTTTCTGTTGACCTCTAGTCTCACATTTTCAATTGCCTTTCAGACATTTCAAACTGGATGTCCAGCAGACATCTTAAACTTAATTATATCTAAAACAGAGCTCATTATTTTCCCCCTTAAACTTCCTCCCCTCCTACCTTCCCTATTACTGTAGAAGGCAACACTATTCTCCCTGTCCCTCAGGTTCACAACCTACAAAGCATCCTGGATTCCTCACTATCTCTCATTCCCTATAATCCAATCTGTTGCCAAAGACTGCTGATTTCACCTTTGTAACATCTCTCAAATATGCTCCTTTCGCTCTTCTGACACTGTCACCACTCTACTACAGGCATTATCACTTCATGCCCGGACCAGTGCTATAATACTGTAATACTGCTGGCTGGTCTGCCGGCCTCATCTCTCTCCACTCCAATCTATCCTTATTCTAATCCCTATCCTATCCAGCTATTAAAGTGATTTTCCTAATGTATAGGTCCAACCAAGCCATCCCTTACTCAGTAAACTCCAGTGGCTTCCTATAACTTTCAGGATGAAATACAAAATGTTCTGTTTGGCATTCAAAGCTCTTCATAACCTAGCCTTCTCCTACCTTTCTAGTCTTCTTATACTTTATTTCCCCACACTGGCCTCCCAGCTTTTCCATAAACAAGACCCTATATCTCTTAGCTGCAAACAGTTTCTCTGGCTGTCCCCCATGCCTGGAATGCTCTTCTTCCTCCACTCTGCCTACTAACTTTTCTGGCTTCCTTTAAAATCCAATTAAAATCCCATCTTTTACTGAAAGACTCTCCTAATCCCTCTTAATTCTAGTATCTTCCCTTATTTAATTATTTCCCATATCTTGCATACAGCTTGCTTTGTATATATTTTCATCTTGTCTTCCCCATCAGATTATGAGCTCCTTGAAAGCAGGGACAGTTTTTTGCTGCTTTCTGTATCGCAAGTGCTTAGCACAGTGCTTGCTAAATAGAAGGCCCTTAATAAATGTTTACTGATTAATTGATTGATTTTATAGTACAGTATTTCCTCATTGTATCCTATAAACATAAGAATCTTCTTAAAGTGATTCTAAACTCATTTCAAAATTTCTTTGTTTTCAATGCCATTGATATTATACTTTTCCCCAATATAGTAGCATATATAGATAATTTACATGGTATTGACAAGACAAAGAAGATTCAGAAATAGGAATCTTTGTTATAAATTCCCACAATTATAGGGCATAAGTGATTTGAACTTAATTTTATATAAATAAAACCAAACAACTGTCATCACAAAAGACTGCTTTTTATAGATTATATCCTTTTCCTTTCTCCTCTATAATGAACTCCTAGAGGCAAACTATAATTTTATGATCAGCATTTCAAAATCAAATAATTACATTAGTGACTTGTAACTTTATTTCTACTTTCCAAGCAGTCCTTAGGTGAGAAGCAAGTTTGTGTTGTGAATATCATAATGGACTATGAGACAGGCAACCTGGGTTCTAGTCCTGATGCTGGTATTAGCTTGCTTTACATTAAACTACCATTTTTTGAAGATGCTTCCCAGTTGTATCTATCCAGTTTCAGTCTCTTCCGCGAGCTTCAGTGGCACATCACCTATTGTTGGTATTGTTTAGTCATGTGCGACTCTTTGTGACCAAGATACTAGAGTATCTCCACTCCACTCCAGTATCTTGGAGTGGTTTGCCATTTTTTTTCCCAGCTCATTTTACAGATGAGGAAACTGAGGCAAACAGGGCTATGTGACTTCCCAGGGTCACACAGCTAGTAAGTGTCTGAGGCCAGATTTGAACTCAAGAAGACAAGTCTTCCTGACTCTAGGCCCGGTGCTCTATCGCTCTATCCATTGTGCTACCCAGCTGGCCTATCACCTATTACTTAGAAGTTATTTCAAAATGGATGTCTGGGAGACATCTTAAACATAACATGTCCCAAAGTGAACTCATTATCTTTCTCCCTAAACCCTGCCCTCTTTCTAAACTTCCCTAGTTCTGTACAGGACACTACCCTTCTTCCAGCCTCCCAAATCTGAAATCTCAGCATAGCCCTCAACTTCTTACTCTATCTCATTTCATACGACCCCATCAGTTGCGAAATCTAAAAACCTTCCTAACAGCTCTCCCATCTGAGCCCTTCTCTTCACTCACACAGCTAGCCAACTCCTCTCTGATTCTCACCAATAACACTCCATCTCCCAGCTCCATGCCTTTGCACTGGCCATTCCCCATGTCCAGAATTCACTCTCATCACGTCATCTGCCATACAGAGTACCCTCTTGTTCTTGAATGCATGGCTCAGGCTCTATCTTCTGTATGGAGCCTTACCTGATCCCTTCAACTGCTAGTGTCCTCTATCTCAAACTAACTTACGTTGAACTACGTTGCATATATTTGATTTACCTTACAGTCATACTGTATATACACATATTTTTGTATGTACTTATCTTGCTCATTTTGTTTCATAGTGTCTAGCACAGTGACTGACATACGGTGGCTAGGTGGCACAGCATATACAGTGCCAGGCCTGAAGTCAGGAAGACCACCTACCTGAATTCACATCTGGCTTCAGACACCCACTAACTGTGTGACCCTGGGCTAGTCACTAAACCCTGTCTTCCTCAGTTTTCTCATCTGTAAAATGAGGTGAAGGAAATGGCAAATCACTCCAGTATCTCTGCCAGGAAGCCTAAATTGGGTCACAAAGAATCAAACATGACTGAAAACAACTGAAGAAGAGTAACAACAATAACAAGAAGAACTTGCTGACTGATTGCTGATTGACACTGTATAAATCACTTAATCTCTTGAGAACTCAGATTCTTCATTTGTAAAAAGAAGTGGCTGGCCTGGATGATTTCTAAAGTCTCTTGCAGGTCTAACATTCTAGTAACTACTTTTATGGATTATAGATTTGTCTTAATTATAGGTAAGATTAAAAAAATAATTTATTAACATTTAAATGCTAACTCTTTAAAGATAGTACTTTCACTGACATTTCTTTCAGAACTCAGCATGACAATTATAGAGGTTCACACTTTAGGTAATAGTCCACCAATGAATTCTACAAAGAAAAAAATTCTGGCCTGTAATTTGGAAGTTTGTATTACAATCTTAGCCATTTCATTACATTTTTGAGATGAATGAGATTTTTTTTCCAGCTGTTTTTTACACAACTGACAATTATGCATGATTAATTTGGTTCAAAATATATTCTGGTGACTTCTTAGTCATGTCCCAAATCTCAAGACCATGATTTCTTCAGTGGTTATATAGTATGCTTCCCACTAAATAAGCGAAACAGCAATGAACATGACTGAACTATGAGTTATGCTGGCTCTTTAAAACTTTCTCACTTCACTCTTTCAGTATGAACCACGAAAGAGATAAGGAATTTATTAGCAGAAGAGAACACCTATTCTAGTAAATTTATCATATGGCATCAAAGGCAACTGACTCAAATCTCCCACCACACTAACTGGAATTACAAGGCAATTCATCTTTGTAAAAAGAAAACATAAAGTTAAGGAGTCAAAACTGTGTAAAGTTTTGGAAACTCATTATGAACAAACTTTATAGCTTAAGAATTTTTAGACAAAATTAAACTCTTTCTTTGGTGAAACAGCTTCCTCCAAAGATGTTCTAGCTTAGCAAAAGTAAAAATGAGATATTTGGGAATGTAGTAAACTTTTACAAACAAATTGCTATACATGACTGACCAGTTTCTCAATACCATCATTTAGATTTTCTAATACACTTACATCCCACTGCAAAAAGGAGAAACAAAACAAAACAGAAGTGAATATTGCCAGTTTTAGAAGTAAATGAATCAGCACTCAAATATATACAGAATCACAAATGGCTCTGGAAGTCATCTTGTTTAATGCACACTGGAACAAGAGTCTCTTCTTATGAAATACACCTGAGTCATGTGACCTCTGCATGAAGACCTCTGGCAAGAGAGGCCATTACTTCCTAAGGCTACATACTCTCCTCGTATAAAGCTCTATTTAAGCTAAACTGAGTCTATCTTCTTTTCACCTTCTCCATTGCTTCCACTCACATCCTCAAAAATAATGTGTATAAGCATGATTACCTTTGAGATGAAATATAGTTAAAAGAATAGCATAATTTAATTTTTAAAGTGTGATGCACAGCAGTAAAAGCTGGAAGGGGACCTAGAAATCATCTAGTCCAATCCCATCATTTATAGATGAGCAATAAAATTGAAGGCTGGAGATTTGCTACTTAGAAGTGACTTGCTGAAGGTTACATACTACCTTTGGTTCCTAAATAGCAGAGGCAGAATCTGAACCCAAGTCATCTGTAAACACAGTTATATACTATGCCAATTGCCTATATTTTATACACTAATACTCAATTAACAAGAGTGATGGCTATAGTGATGACAACATTTGCAATTAACTCGACTTTTCAGAAAATACCAGATTTAGAGACATCCTTTATAGAAATCCTTCTCTTGCTTATTATCCAAACAAGGTATAAGCAGATTTAAACTCTTAAGACAACTAAAGTTAGGAAAGAACCCATAACTGATACTGGATCTTACCTTCCGTTCTCTTTTCGGCTTGTTTGGCAAAAGTGTCATCTTCTTTCTTTCTTTTTGCAGCTAAGAGTTCTCGCTTTAGGAGTCGGACTTCTTTCTTGAGCTCCTCACTATAAAGACAGAACACATATACATGAGTATAAAGTGATATTGACAAAGTAAAGTTTTCTTAGAAAAAACAGAACTGTCAGTTAATGTACATCAAATCACTGAAGTAAACAAAGGGATTAGATCAATTCACTCATGTTCAACTATAAGTTGGGGAGGTAAAGGGAGTAAGTTTAAAAGGAAAAAAAAACCAGTTTTTTCATGGAAGCAATATAAAAGACACAATACAGAACCAAAGCTTAGGCTCATGTAGAGTGTGGTCAATCCAAGTTTCTCAGTAAGCAGCAATCAATGAATCAAGGGTTTTAAAACACCCACCAAATGCTTAGCATTGTGGATATAAGTACAAAGGATGAAACAATTCCTACATATACATGTGAACTTACATTCTAATGGAAGAGGCAGCAAGTACATACAAAAATACATACAGTATGACCATAAAATGAATTAAGAGATCTGGTTCTGCTAGGCCACCTTCTTTTACTTTTTTCCCCCTTTGATTCTTCTGATATTTTTGATCTTTTGTTCTTCTAATGAATTTTGTTATTATTTTTCCAGCTCTATAAAAGTTCTTTGATTGCTATGGCACTGAATAAGTAAAATAATTTAGGTAGAATTATCATGTTTGTCATATTGGCTCAGCCTACCCATGAGTATTATTTTTCCAGCTGTTTATTTATGTGAAAAGTGTTTTGTAATTGTGCTCATACAGTCCCTGGCTTTGTCTTGGCAGGCAGACTTGCAAGTATTTTATAATGTCTGCAGTTATTTTAAATGGAATTTCTCTTTCTAGTTCTTCTTGCTGGGTTTTATTGGTGATAAATAGAGATGCTGATTATGCATGTGGGTTTATTTACCTTCTGCAACTTTGCTAAAATTATTAATTGTTATAATTAGTTTTTCAGTTTTTTCTCTAGGGTTTTCCAAGTATACCATCACATCATCTGCAAAGAGTCATAGTTTTGTTTCCTTAGGAGGAAATAAACTTCGTGGAGATGTAGTTTCCCTGCTTATCTCTTTTTAATTAAGTCTATTTTTGCTTTTGCTTGGTCTGAGGTCATGATTGCTACTGTCGCCATTTTTACTTCAGCTGAAGCACAACAGATTCTACTTCATTCCCTTATTTTAACTTGGTGGGTATCTCTCTGTTTCAAGTATGTTTCTTATAAACAATATATTGTTGGATTCTGGTTTCTAATCTATTCTGCTACCCACTTCCGTTTTATGGGTGAGTTCATCCCCATTCACATTCACAGTTTATGATTACTAATTTTGCATTTCTCTCCATCGTATTTTCTTCTGTTTATCCTTTTCTTTTTCTCTTTCTACCCTGTTCCTCCTCAACAGTCTGTTTTACTTCTGACCACTGCCTCCCTTAATCTGCCTTCCCTTTTATTATATACCTTCCTTTCTCTTTGTTCTTCCCCTCCTACTTTCCTGTTGGGTAAATTGAAGTGCGTGTGCATGCGTGCAAGCGAGCGAGTATGTATGTATGTATATATGTAATATATTCTTCCCTCTTTAAACAAATTCAGATGAAAACAAGATTCAAGAATTGGCTACCCTCAGCTCCCATCATTTTCTTCTCTATGAAAGCTCTTCCTTGCATGTCTCTTTTATGTTAGATAATTTTCCCCATTCTTCTCCTTTCTCCTTTTTCCCAGTGCATTTTTTTCCATACCAATCCATTTTTTTGAGATCATCGCAACATAATTAACTCATTCTCATGCTCTAAGTAGAGCCCTTGTAAGTGCTCTAATATTGATAAAGTTCTTAGGAGTTATATGTGTCCTCTTCTCACATAGAAAGGTAATCATTTTAACCTCATTGAGTCCCTTATAAATTGTTTTTCATGTTTACATTTTTATGCTTCTCTTGAGTCTTGTATCTGAAAGTCAAATTTTCTACTCAGCTCTGATCTTTTCACCAGGAATGCCTGAAAACTCCTCTATTTCATTAAATATTCATTGTTTCCCTTGAAGGATTATACTGTGTTACTGGGTAGCCTATTCAGCCTATTCTTAGTTATAATCCTAGTTTGTCTGGCCCTCCAGAATACTATATTCCAAGCCCTATGCTTCCTTAACATGGTAGCTGCTAAATCTTGTGAGATTCTAACTGTTGCTCTATAGCATTTGAATGTTGTTGTTGTTGTTGTTTTTTCTGATTGCTTGATGTATTTTCTCTTTGACTTTGGAGCTCTAGAATTTGGCTATGATATTCCTAAGAGTTTTTATTTTGGGATCTCTTTCATGAGATTACAGGCAGATTCTTTTAATTTTATTTTACCCTCTGATTCTAAGATAATTGGGTCAGTTTTCCTTTATAATTTCTTGAAATATGATTTGTAGGCTCTTTCTTTGATCATGCCTTTGAGAGAGTCCAATAATTCTTAAATTATCTCTCCTTGATCTATTTTCCAGGTCAGCTGTTTTTTTCCAACAAATTATTTCACATTTTCTTCAATTTTTTTCATTATTTTGGCTTTGCTTTATTGTTTCTTGATGACTCATGGGGTCATTAGCTTCCACTTGCCCAATATTAATTTTTAAGGAGTTATTTTCTTCAGTGAACTTCTGTGCCTCTTTTTTTTTTTTTTAATTTGGCCTATCCTGCTTTTTAAAGAGTTATTTTCATCAGTGAAATTTTGTACCTATTTTGCCATCTGGCTAATTTCATTTTTTTTAAGGTGTTATTTTCATGAGTATTTTTTTGTGTCTCTTTTGCCAAGCTGTTAATTGTCTTTTCATAATTTTCTTGCATCACTCTCATTTATTTTTTCAATTTTTTCTCTAACATTCTTATTTGATTATTAAAACCATTTTAAAAGCTCTTCCATGAATTCTCGTTGGCTTGTGTCCAATTCATATTTTTCTTTGAGGCTTATTCAGACTATTCTATTATAACAGTCTGTACCAGTTTTAACATTGATTTTCTTCTTCTGAGTTTGTATCTTGATCTTCCCTAACTCCATAGTGGCTTTTTATGGTGAGGTGGTTTTTTTTTGATGTTGTTTGCTCAATTTTTTTTCCCCCAGCCTATTTCTGGACTTTGAACTTTATGTTAAAGTTGGGCTTTGTTGCTGGGGTGGGAATGGCACCTCAAGCTTCAGGCTTTTTTACAGTGCTAGTTTTCAGAACTAGATCTTGGGACTTGGAAATTTTCAGTGCTTTCAAGGTGTTGTGATCTGGAGAGAGATGTAATCACTGCTCTCTTGGTCTGTGTTCTGGTCCTTACTTAGGAAGGGTTCTTGATCCCTTACAGTTGCAAGAGATGCTGTTAGTCAGGGTACCTAATTCTTTGTGATTGAAAGTGATATTGTTTCTTAGGGCCCCTGATCCTTTGGGAGTGCAAATACTTTTCTCTGCCCTGAAACTGTGACTTGGAATAGGCAATGGTTTTGGGCAAAGAGCGTCTAGATCTGTGCCCAGGGCTAGCACTCTGGAATCTCCTCTGACCAGTTACCAGATTCTCTTTCCATCTTTGGCTTGAGAGTTCCTGGAGCTCCTGCTGCCGCCACTGCCTCCAAGGCCCATAGCTGGTGCTTTTGCTTCATGGGCTCCAGACCAGCCCTTACCCCAGTGTCATAGACCTCTCCTTGTGATCTCCTACATTGCCTTGGGCTGGAAAAATGTCTCATTTTAATCTTCTGTTGGCTTTGCAACCCCAGAATTCTATTTGAGGCATTATTTTAAAGTTGTTTTAAACAACTTTAATGTTGTAATGTTGGGAGAACCCAGTTGTTTCCTCTACTCTGCCATCTTCGCTCTATTTTGTCTTTCAGTGGTTTGTTTTGAATGTATTTGGACTCTAATGGTCCACTATCTTGTGTTTTCTTTAGAAATCAAGATTTTGCAGCAGAATTCTATGACGTTTCTGATGGTAACTCAAGTAATGTACAATTACAGGTTCTTCCTCATGCTTGTCTGAGCCAAGATCAGAACTAGATTGTAGACCAGAAGTTCCCAAACTTATTTGGCCTACTGCCCCCTTTTCAAAAAAAAAATTACTCAGTGTCCACTGGAAATCTACTTTCTTTAACCCTTTAACAGTTTTTCTTTTAAATTTGAGTCATTTAAAAAATTTTTTTTTTAAAAAGGGACACATGTTATATGTAATAACTTATTGTAAACTTGGTTTTTTCCCTGCATTGAAATTTTGATGATGCAATATTGCATCATGTAACCATATAGTAACATACTGTAAACAAGTCATTATATGCACAAATTCCTACCAATGCATGCTGGACTTCCTGACAACACATGACACATTCCCCTGCCAACACTTGCTTGTTAAGACCTGTCAGCAGATTTGACCACTGATCAGTTATAACTTACATTTTGTGTGTTTATTTGGAAAATAATGTAATCACTATGACTTTAACTCTGTTACACAACAGATGAAACAAAAATGAACAGTTTTTCAAAATTTTCCTATTTTCTTTTCTAATGCTTCCACTGCCCCCTTAGTTTTATTCCTCCCCCAATTGTACCTGAGGCTACTACTGGTGGCCCCCACTCCAATCATTCCATCGCTCCCCAGGGGACTGTACTGCCCACTTTGGGAACCCTTGTTGGACTTCCATCAACTGACCTCTCAGCTGAGTGACATATTGTTATAAATCTTTAAATCTGCATATTCGCAGAGACTCCAAAGGATTATATATGGAATAAAGTTTATGGCACTATTCTTGGTGGCATTATAGGCATTTACTAGAAAAGCTACATGATGACTTCAAGCCTTCTTTTTGGGCATCAGCAAGTAGACTTTCAGAATATAATTAAAATGCTCTAACTGTGGCTCTCCTTGAGTCTGTTATGGTATAATCCCAAACTTCCTGATCCTTGACAAATTTCTCCTTGAGTAGCCTGCTCTCAAGATCTTGACTTTGGTCAAAATGAGTCATGGCAGGGAACCATACACTGAAAATTACCTCTAGAATAGCCTCAGTTTCCTCTTCTGTAAAACGAGGGTTTTTTAACTTAATATCTTTTAAGGTTCC